GGCCTGTGCGGGGCTGCATCTCAGGCCTCGGGGACCGGCCCTCCTCTCCGGGAGTCTGCCTGTCTTTGGAAATCGCGTGAAGAGTCGTTGTCCATCGGGGCCCCTGAACTATCGCGTGTCCAGCAGCCCCAGCAGGCGGGATGGCGCTTCAGATGCAGGCACGAAGCTGTCTGGGTTCCGGTCCGCACTCACTCTGCACCGCTGGGCAGGTTACTCAGCGCCAAACAGCGGGTGTGGATTGGAACCACACTCTGTGCGTCGTTCCTTTATCTGTAGCCCCTCGTAATAAAGCCGACCTGCAGGGCGGTGCGAGGACCTGATGACGCCGCCCACAGTTAGCACAGCACCCGGCCACAGTCAGTCTGCTGTCGCTGTGACTCGGGGGCTCAGAGGCCCCTTCCACCCACTGCAGTTCGTTATTAAAGAAAAAAGCTGGGCTGTTTGAAAACTAAACGTCAATGAAATTCCAACTTGTATGTTTAGGGAGCTGAAAACACATTCGCTTGCCGAGTTTCTGGGGGCGCAGGCCTGCCCGGGCGTGCCCTGGTGACCCGCTGGCCAGAGGGCGTGCGTCTGTCCAGCTGCGCCCGCAGCCGTCGGAACTGGGCCCACTGCCACCATCCTCACCCAGGGCGGATTCCGCCCTATTCCTGCCAAGGGGACAGGACTCGATCCAACCCGGGGGAGCACGTTCTCGTCGGGGGCCGAGCCGGGAGCTGTCCTGGGGGCTGCCGCATGGGACGGAGACACGCCGTGGGCTCTGCCAGGTGAGGACCAACACAAGGGCACATGGACTGACACGGAGGGACACGGGAACCTGCCTGAAAGCCTCACTGCCCCCAGTTTCGGAGTTTGCAGACTCAGAAGGACACTTGCTGCGCCAGCTTGCCGTGACGCTGTCTTATCTGAGGTGCCTTAGCTCTCCCCCCGGCTACTTGGGAACCGGCAGAGCAGACGGCATTCCTGTGCGGTGACAGCAGAGCTAAACCCGGCTGCTGGCACCAGCCCGCGGGGTGAGCACATGGTGACACGTACGTTCCAGCCACTTCAGAGCTGCCGTAAGTTCTAATTTTGCAGTGACGTGCTCACCACTCGATACCTGTGGGGAAGCTGCGCCTCACAGACACCCGCTGCTTCTCTGAAACTCAGTGAAGACTTGCTCCTAAAATCAACCTGCTTCTTAAGGAAGCGTGTCTCCCCTCAAGTCATAGCATCTTCTTAGGACAACTGGGAAACAGCAGCAACTCTCCGAGCTAAATCCTATTTTGGTAGGTGGCGTTTTAACCACAGTTCATTGGAATTTAGAAGTAATTCCCCCAAATATCACCGTAATGGGTCCAAACTTCAAACTGGCTTATTATTTTATGTATTGTTGAAATAAACTCAGACGCAGGCTTACTACCTGCAGTGAAAAGCTGAGCCCTCATTCCAAACCGCGAAGCGAGCCATTCGGTTGGTTTTAACCCTAGAGACAGAGGCTCGGCCGAGTGACTGTTTACGAAACAGTGAAAGTCCCGGTTTAAGAACCTGAGGCCACAGATGAGCAGAGTGACACTGTCACCCGAGAGGCTGCGTGGGAACACAACCACGGCACGTCCGGTTCGCTGGGGACCCGGGTGTGACAAGCTTGTTTCAGCAGCGGCAGTGGGTGACCCCCGGCCCCCCCCTCCCCGCGGGACCCCGCGCTCCCGCCCGCCAGCACGCCGGGGCTGAGCCTCACCTGTGACCAGGGCCCCTGCCGTCGCCATGTGCATGATGGTGTTGTCGCTCACCGGCCACCTCTCTGGAGAGAGCACCAGGTGGTCCAGTCCCCCCACCTTTCCCGGCTCCTTCTGGACCTTGGGGCCCGAGGCGCTGTCCTCCCCGAAGGCGTGTCCGTGTCCGAGTGCATCGCCCACGGCCCCCAGCAGCATCGCAGCCTGAAACTTCTCCATCTCTGCCGGCAGCTGCCGGACGCCCAGCCTTCAGCCCGCCCCGCCGGCCCCTGTTCTGGTCGCCGCGTCGCCGTCGGGAGCCTCCCCGATCGGCCAGGCGCCCTCTTCTGTCCCGGGCGGGCGGGCGGGCGGCACCAATGAGGAAGCCGTCTGGGCACGCAGCCCGCAGCCACGTGGTGCGCCCAGAGCTGGCTCTTCAGTGGGGGCACCTGCGGCTCAGAGCACCGCTTCAGAGGGAGGTCTGCACGGCGCGCTGGGGAGATGCACACGTTTCTAGAGCTTCCAGGTGTAATTCGCGCACCGTCGGGCTCACTGCGTTCGGTCCAGTCACGCGGCGTGCGTCAACCTTCCCCGCGGCCCGGGCGGAGAGCCCGCCCAAGCCGCGGCCCCTCTGCTCCCTGGGCCTCCACCCACCCACTTGGTCTCTGTGGCTCTGCCTTTCCGGGACTTTCAATTACACGGGATCGCGCTCGGCGGCCTTCATGCTGCGACTCGGCTGTCACACGCACGGCTCTGTTTTCCGGAGGACTCGTTGATTATAAAGCGTGTTTATGGTAGAAAACTGCCACGTGCGAAGGGGGAAAGCACGTGGAGCCGCCGAGTGCGTGATCACGGGCGTCCCCGCGGCCCAGCGTCAGCGAAGGATCCGTGACAGCCAGCCTCCCGGCCGCTCCGTGTGTGCGCAGAGCCCGGAGCCCCGAGGGGTCGGCGAGGGCGCCCCGTGAAGGCTCACGCACCTTAAGCGTCCTCCCACTGATCCCGTTCCACAGGGAGGATGTTCACGGCCGTGCTGACACTGAGAGTGGGGGGAACCCCTGCAAACCAGGGACCTTGACTTGAAAAGAGGGATCAGGAGAGCTACCACCTCTGTCTCCAGGCCCCTTGTCCCCCAGGTTCTGGTCCCACGTCAGACCAGGACAAGCAGGAGGGCGTCACGCCGGGATGCAAGAAACACATCTGATAAAACTTAAGTTTCTTTCAATAACAAGATACTAAGATGCCTTTAAATGAACGGGTCGCACTTCCCTGGCAGTCCAGTGGTTACAACTCCACACGGGTTGGATCCCTAGTCGGGGAACTGAGATCCCGCACGCTGCGTGGCGTGGCAAGAAAAAAAAAAGAAAAGGTAAATGTGTATCATCACAGCACTTATTAAAAGTGAGGTTCTGGAACCCGACTCCGGCTGGCACAGTCTGAGAGGTCCTAAAGCAAAAGTCCTTTATGACCAGTGCAGTTGGCCCGGGTTGCTAGGGTGCAGGCTCCCTCCCCGAGGGCAGCCCCTCAGACAGCCACCCACGTGGGGAGAAAGGCACCATGTGGCAGAAGCCGTTTATCGCTGAGGCAGAGGTACCGTCTTCTCTTGCTGAATCTGAGGCAGCAGACACTCTCGTCGAGACGCTAAGAGCAATCCCACACTATCTGGCCGACGCCAGCGAGAGGAAGAGGTGAGGCGAGCCCACTGCATCGTTCCTGCAGGTTTTGCCAAGCCCCGGCCGTGTGCCACGAGTTGTGGGTATGGCTGTCCCCACAGAGCCTGGAGCTGGAGACATATGTAATATCCCACTTAAGGGTTTACTAAGGTAAAAGAACACACTGACATGTGCGATGTCACCAACATGGAAGGAGGTGATGCTGTCCAGCCCAGGAACTCCCGGCAGGCACGGGGAGGCCACGTGTGTTAAACCTCTCACATTTGGTTAACCCGCATGTCTCCACTGTATTTATAGTTTGCGTTTCAGTGGATCAGTTAGGTACGTAACTCCCGTCAGTTCAAGGAAATTCGTGTATTATGAGATCTGTGACCGCCCACGTGGAGCAGGTTTATTTAGCAGATACTACGTGATACCTAGAAAGGAAAGTATGTGACCCAGGCCGTCCGTGTGGGACGTGATCCTGTAACAAGGCAGCAGGCTGGACACAGGTTGGGAGGGTCCCAAGTGTGGTGGCCGCTCCCCTGACGTGGGACCAGGACCCTGACATCCAGGGCCGAGCGTCCGAGGACAGACCTGAGAGGCACCATGACACCAGGAAGAGAATTTTAGTGTTTCCAGAGTCCTCAGCACTTTCACAGCACGCACGACTTAAATGTGTATTAGAGAAGGGAAACCTACAAGTGTTGGAAGAGCCTTTGTCACTGTTTCGGTATCTGTTGATAAACAACTCCATAGAACACCTTTTCTCCACATAACCTTAAATCTCAAGAATGAAACAGTGCCACAGACCTCATGACTCTCACAGGCCCGTCCGAGTTCCATAACCTCTCTGAACAGAACTCTTACATGTCAGAACCCACGAAGCCTTGAACGACGTGTTACAATTGGTGAAGTTTCTATTAAAGCCTCTTAGAACTCCAGTCTTACAGGTAGAGGACGGGGCAGCGGGGCCTGGGAGAGATCAGGTGACTTCCCTGGCCCTGCACCTTGTGACAGGCCGACCCCGCCCAGACTGGGTCTCCAGGCCCCAGGCCTGAGTGGGTCACATTTTTGAACGCCAAACCAACTACACATTTTAGGCACACTTTCTGGAAATCTGAGTGAATTCCCCTCTCCTGTGAAATTACCCCGATTTATCTGTCTCACAAACGGGGTTGCGGGCTGGGCAGCAAGCACGCCTGTGGTGTGAAGATCATTCCCAGTATGAGGTGGGGTCCACACAGCGATTCTGGACAGCGTCCCCCCGACAGGGGGGCACCAGGAGGCCAGGCAACGAGACGCGGACACACACATCCACCTGCATGTGACGTGGTTTCCGGTGTGGGGTTTTGGGGACAACAATGTGTATTTTACCTCCCAAACGTGACAACCGTATGAGGGCGGGTGGGTGAACAGTACCCATATTACAGACGGCTGAAAGGAGAGAACGCTGATGTTTAAATCTATAATTTATCATGAAAGAAACAATTTTTCATGGAAAAATGTCCTTTTAAATACTTTTTTTTTTTTTTTTTTTTTGCGGTACGCGGGCCTCTCGCTGCTGTGGCCTCTCCCGTTGCGGAGCGCAGGCTCCGGACGCGCAGGCTCAGCGGCCACGGCTCACGGGCCCAGCCGCTCCGCGGCATGTGGGATCTTCCCGGACCGGGGCACGAACTCGTGTCCCCTGTATCGGCAGGCGGACTCTCAGCCAGCAGGGAAGCCCTTAACTACATTTTTTAAAGCCTACTTTATGACGCTCTTAGGAAGCTCAGCTGCCGTTATCAGAAGTAAAGCAGACCCACTGACCTGCAGGCAATTTAAAAGAACTTTTCTGGAATCACGATGACACCATCGCTGTGCAAACTGCAACGGTGCGTTAACCTGTAAAATGATTCCCAGATGAGCATCCAGAGAAAAGTGAAATGAAAATAGAGCTGATAAATCTAGACACTTGATGATTCAAAAAATATAAATCTTAACCCTGGCACCAAGTTCAAAACCGCCAGCATCCACGACACTCGTCCTCTTTAGGGCAGGTTTCCAGCAGCCTGACTTGTGGTTTCTCAGGGGTGGTTACGGACAATTCAGCGAGTGTGGTGAGCACAGCCTCGCTTTGGGTCATGATCAACAGCGACCCTGCAGCCTGCAGACAGGCCCCAGCTCCTCCGTAAACGCGGAAATCATGCAGAGGTCTCTCACAGCAACAGCCAGGGCCCCGTCTCTGGACGCCCCAGCAGCGAGCTCAGAGGGTCTCCGTGCGGCATCCACAGTCAGCGGCGTCTTCTCTAAGCAGCAGGAGAGGGTCTCCAGTCTCACGACTGGTCAGGATGACTTCCAAAATGGGCAACGGGCATGGCTGGCCAGTGTCTCCTGCAGGACAGCTCCCTTTTCACCTTAAGCCATCTCGATTTTCTGCCTAGAGAGGGCTGCCTTAACCACCCGTGACCACTGGCCGTGCATATTCTACGAAATCACCTATAAGAACAGGCCACACTCCTGAAGGAGAGCAAATAGAATTTTTTTAAATATCAACGATTTAGAGCAATATTTTTACATTCAAAGCATTTTTTCACAATCCAACTTTTATATTTCAAGAACTCAAATGATTTTAACTTTCTATAGCCTGTGCTCCACTTAAAGAATCGGCTAAAGTGACCCTCTTCTGCTCTAGCCAGACCAGGGTTGGCAAGTGCTGGTGTGCTTGTGTGGAGCCAGCCCTGTGAGGACCGCCCACCCTTGACCCCGCCGGGAATGTGCGCAGTCACCTCCTGGCCGGGCAGAAGGAGCCGACGGTGGGTGGGGCCGGGGGGGTGGGCATCCTTCCCTAACGGGGCAGCGCCCACAGCTCAGCAGGCAGGCAAACGCTCCCCGAGTCCTGAAATGTTTGGGGTGGGGGCCGCAGCAGGCGTGGTCGTGCTCAGGTGAGCAAATGGAGGCTGCAGTCTTCCGTGAGCTTCGGCCGTGCGATGGAACAGCCGCTGCAGCCACACGCGGGGCAGCGGGCCCCAGTGACTGTCCTGCTTGAGGTCTGCCTCAGGGCCTCTGCACGTCCACTCTGAAATGGCTTAGCTTGGACAACTGTCTTCCTGACTTTAACTAAATATGAAGCTGTATTTTCTTTTGTGTGATTTACAAGACATAATAAAGTGACTACTAGTCACTGTGATCACCACCCCCGTCTCTGGACGGGGTCGGGCCAGGAGTCAGCAGGTACCATCCGCCCTGGGGCCTGCGCTGCCATCACTGACCCGTGGTCCGGGGGCAGAGACGTGCGCGCCCGCGTCAGTGCCTCTGGCCATCGCCTGAATTCCGACTACTTCCCGTACCTTCTTCATCATAGCTGGACACGTCATCTGCAATCATATTTCCAAAATCTAGCAGAAGGCTCCAAGTTCCTTGGGATTGATCTTTTGCGATGCTCCTAATACACAAGAGAAAAAAACCACCAGACTTACGATACAGACTTAGCTCTCAGGTTATCTCAGAACAGAATTTGATAAGGAATAAGTACCGGAACAATACTGTCAAAAGTTAAAATAATAATAGCGCTTTGGGTAAACGTTAAGAGCTACAAAATGCCAATGTGCAGATGTAGAAAGCAGACTTATTTAAACACAAATTAAAATAAAACTTCAAAAATACAAAAATTATAAACTTATTTCAAATCAAGAGGCAGCACTTTTAATCTCTTCACCTAAGCCCCAAACCAATTCAGAAACAGGGCGGGCAAGTAGTATTTTGATACATTTATTTTCCTAAATACCAGGGAGTTCTTTGAAGTGGTATGGGACACTTTTCCGGAAATGTCTCTGTTCCTCGGTACTTCAGGTGCAGCGAACATGTGCAGGATACCCGCCCGCAGCTCAAGGGGCAGCCCCGGCCCCGGCCCGGCCTCCCCTTTATCTCCCAGAGGCTCCCAGCTCATAAGGCAGCAGGTGCTGCTGTGGGCCCGTCTGCACACGTCACAGGCACACGGTTCACAGGCGGCTCGCCAGCTCGTCTCACACCTCAGAACACGCGCGTGACCAGCACAGCGTGCTCTTGTGCACCTGCCGTCCCTCGTGAGCCCTGTGTCCCTCTGCCGCGTGGCGTTCTGGGGTCCTTCCCCAGGCTGCTCCAGGAGGGCTTTCCCACACAGCCCCCACCCCGCCACCCGGTGGAAGGGCTGCTCCTCGCATGCAGGGGGGCCCTGAGCAGGACAGCACGGCCACTGCCCGAGGTCAGGGCGGCCCGCACCCTGCACCCTCCCCGCAGCCACAGCTGAGACCCCGGCCCGAAGGACCCGCCCCCCCCCCCGGGGCCAGCTGAGCCCCCCACTCCTCCCGAGCGATGCACAGGACATCCGGGGTGGCCCCCGTGAGCACAGCTGGGGGGGGCCCGCTGGTGGGCCGTCCAGAGGACGCGGCCTCGGAGCAGCCGGGGCAGAGCCCCTGGGCGCCGCTTTCAGCTGGTGGCAGAGCGTGGCCGCGGGTCTGCTGCTTGGTGACTTCTGCGCGAGGCCCTGGCCCCACAGTTAGTATGGAGGCCACCGCACCCACTGAGCCCTCCCGCGGGGCCCCGGCAAGCAGGAAGCCACTTACCAACAAAAGGATGTTCCAAAGATCTAAAAACTTAAGCCTTCCGGAGAATACCAAATTCCAATATGCGACAGCCATTTCTAAGTCTGGCAAAAAAAGGGAAAGAGCAGTTAGTGAATCCCAGTTTCTTTTTCCGCTGCACACTGACCACTGCTCAGCGCGCTGGTATTCACTTACTCAATAACCATCAGCAACCTCACCTAGAAGTGACACGAGGGCTAATGCGTTCAGAAGCGTCCCTCAAGTTGTGTGTAATCTAATTTTGTAACTCGGGGGAAATGTCTTTTAAAAAGGATTTGTTGCGAATTCCCTGGCGGTCCAGTGGTTAGGGCTTGACACTTTCACTGCGGTGGCCCAGGTTCAATCCCTGGTCAGGGAACTAAGATCCCGCAAGCCACACAGCACAGCCAAAAAAAAAAAAAAAAAAGGATTTGTGTACTATGTTATTTGGACATGTAAATAAGTATCCCCTAATTAAACCATTTCAAAGACTCTCATTTTCTTATGTACTGGGCTTTCCTGAAAGCTGAACCGACCTGGATACTATTAACACATATTTATTTTTAAAAAATAGCCCAATGCACTAAGTGATGAACTACAAGTTAAAAACTCATTTAGAAAGGAAGGGACACAGTGCTTTCCAAATAGACCTGCCTTGCCACTAAAGAACTAAAACAGAATCTGATTCAAAAGTCGATCACATAAGTACTATAAAGACTTGGAACTTCTTGGGACTTCCCTGGTGGCGCAGTGGTTAAGAATCTGCCTGCCAATGCAGGGGACACGGGTTTGAGCCCTGGTCCAGGAAGATCCCACATGCCTTGGAGCAACTAAGCCCATGCACCACAACTACTGAGCCCGTGCTCTAGAGTCCACGAGCCACAACTACTGAAGCCCACGTGCCACAACTACTGAAGCCTGCATTCCTGGAGCCCGTGCTCCACAACAAGAGAAGCCACCCGATGAGAAGCCCACGCACCACAATGAAGAGTAGCCCCTGCTCGCCGCAACTAGAGAAAGCCTGTGCGCAGCAATGAAGACCCAACGCAGCCAAAAGTAAATAAATAAATTTATTTTAAAAACCCAACAAGCTAAAAAAAAAAAAGACTTGGAATTTAAAGTCAAGACAATTAAGCATGTTTATTTGGTCACTAGTCAAAGTCAACGTCCTCAGTTTTCATCTTTCCTTGGCTGGAAGGTAGCGATGATTTCACAACTTCTATACAGACCGACGCTGTGGGGCTCGATCATAAGATGGCGTCTTAATGCAACACGAGCGCCATCTCAGGGCTGCCGTAGAGGATGCTCCCCGACCCACCGTGTTTGGGATACAGGCTCATTCTCTGCTCACTGCAAGGTTAGTATTGATTTCTTTCTATATGATTGATACACAAGTACTCAAGGGGCTGAGAAGGTTACTTCCTAAAGCTGACAACCTTTAACCATGTCGGCTAGCGCTCATCGCTGTCAGATGACCAAACAGTCATACTGCAGTAATGCTTATGCGTGCGCACCTGTTAGATTAATGCGAGAAGCTGATGAATAAACATTTAAGGCAACAGATTCCTTTAAATGCAAAATACTCAGCTAATCCCTTTTCAGATATTTACCTAAATCTGGTTTGGTCCCACCTGGACAAAAAACTATTAAAGCTGGAGCTCTGACCTGAGCTTTCCAGGGTCAATCATTAACACGGGATGAGCAAAAGAATCTATGAGCAGCAGCCAACTTTAAATAAAATGCCTCTGTTCCCTGTGTGTTTAAAGTGCATGAGATGTTCTCAGTCTGAAATAACCTGGAGTCTTAATCAGAAAGAAAGCAATGGTCAGGAAATTTCAGGAGCTGGTAGAAGGGAAGGCTGGCTGGACCTTACCTACGGGGCCCTCGGCATTTACGCCTAGACGATTAGTCCCGTCCTGCTAAGTCTGCATCCTTATCACTTAGGAAATCTATACTCAACGCATCTTAATGATGAAAAGTGTCACATTGAGAAATGGAGGTAAACCTGGGGAAGAAAGAAAAATAAGTTTTTTGGCAGACATTAAATCTAGTTACTTTTAGGTTCATTTGGTCCTAGAAACCCTTCTTATAAAGTTCCCGATTTGTATGTTTGCAAACCACACAACTAAAGTAGAAGTGTGCATTTTCAGAGACCTAGCATCACTTACATAAACACGCCGAGTGCTGTCCTGATGGACTTGGCCATTTGCAAAATAACAACAAAACTCAAAATTACAGAACTTGAGAGCTGAAATCAAGAATAAAAGCTACTCCAGTGACCATAAAAGGAATCTTCATAGCACCTATATTCTTTCCAATAACCTCTGAAAAATCCTACCTCCTGAGTAAGAAAATGTTTAGAAGGTACTCCTACTTAAAATTTTTATCTGTGATACTCCCTTTAGAATTAGATCATAAAGATGTTCCTTCTGTCAAAAAAGGGTCTTTGGGCCAATGTAAAAATTAGCTAATAATCATGAAACTTTACTTCCTCAAAAATTATGATTTTTCAAAGCCAACTGATTCCAGACTCTAGCCAGTATAAAACCATGCTAAGCTTCTTACATCAAAACACGGAGTCAAGGAGCTTTAATTATCTCCTCTTTTAGCCTATCAGTTAAGCACAGGCTAAGGAATCATCACACACAGAACAATACAGCACATGCACATCTTAACACACACATAAGCAGACACAGAAACCTGAAGGAAAGGAAGGGTTCATCTGTGGTTTTTTCTGCTGTTTTTTTTTTGATTACCCCTTTCCACTGCTGTCCATGCTTTTTCTAGGAATTATAGGAACACTTGTATCAATCTCTTTAATTTATATTTAACCCTTCAGAGGACAGACCATGTAATATACTTTGGAAATTGTAAAATCAATTGCTCCATTTGGGGTTCGCAGCCATAAAATTCCTCATCTTGCTTTATTTTTGTTAAAAAAGCCCTCAGAAAACCTTATAAAATAAAATGTATGTGAAATGTTCAGGTATCTAATCATTTTCCTGTAGAGGCTATTATTTTCTTTAATACAATTTTATATTCCTTCAGCTAGTCTCACGAAGCAAAGAAACAAAATCAGTAACTGCTCTAATTCTCTAGTGAATGATTTTTTAAAATAAATTTATTTATTTTTGGCTGTGTTGGGTCTTCATTGCTGCATGCGGGCTTTTCTCTAGCTGCAGTGAGTGCGGACTAATGTTTGCTGCGGTGCGCGGGCTTCTCATTGCGGTGGCTTTTCTTGCTGCGGAGCGTGGGCTCTAGGCGCGCGGGATTCAGTAGTTGTGGCTCGCGGGCTCTAGAGCGCAGGCTCAGTAGATGTGGCGCACGGGCTTAGTTGCTCCATGGCACGTGGGATCTTCCTGGACCAGGGCTCGAACCCGTGTCCTCTAGCATTGGCAGGAGGATTCTTAACCAGTGCGCCACCAGGGAAGTCCCTAGTGAATGATTTTTTATAAACATGTTATTTAAGTGTCTATAGGCATAAAAATAAATAAGACAATGATTTTTTTCTCAGTAAAGGAATTACAGGATAAACTATAAATTTCACCTTTTGTGCTGCCTGATGCTACGGCAGATCTATTTAAAATAGAGGCTAAACGTACTAGGCTCCGTATTGCCAAAGTGTTTCAAAATGCTCCGTACCCTCATACTGAATTTCTTTGAAATTATTCATGCAGAAAGAAAGTAAATTTTTAAACTTTCAATTAGGTAATGAATTGAGACTGTCACGCAGCACTCCACCGTATTCATATTTTATAACTTCTATGCGCTGCTGACGGTAAATGTTTCGGCTGTTTCTTGTTTTCTGGTCACAAAGAATGTTGTTGAATGGTTTCTGGACATGTATCCTGGCACACAAGTGAATGTGTTGAGGCAGACACCCACCCATGATTTCATGAGTCTTGTTAAACAGTTCTCCAAGCTGACTGCCCACCAGCGCCGTTCTGGAGCTGTCCTGGAAGAGTGAGTTGTGTATTCTAATGTGCACACTGCCATGAATGAGGCTGAGCGCCTGCTTGTATCTTCACTGGCCATATGGAATGCATCTTTCGTGAAGGCCTCGGTCAGGTCTCTTGCCCATTCTCAATTAGGTGATCTTTTTCTTGTTGTTCTGTGGGAATTCTCTACGTATCAGGGACACAGGCCTTTGTCAGTTGAGTATCTCATGGCTCCCACCCCTCACGTGGATGCCTCTTCACTTCTCGATGCTGTTTCTTGGTCAGAAGTTCTTATTTTAGTGTAGTACACTCTACAGTCTTCTCTACAGTGATTTTTCATGCGTTTTACAACCTGTCCTACTGCGTGGCCATAAGGATATTCTCCTCCATTATTTTCTAAAGGTTTCTGCCTTCGGCCTTTCACACTGAGATCTACAACCCACCTGAACTGACTTTCATGTACGGTGTGAGGCAGAGATCAAGATGCATTTTTTTCCATACGAGTAGACCATTCTCCCAGGACCATTTACTGAAAAGCTGTCCCTTCTCCACTTCTCCAAAGGGCCACCTTTCCCATAAATCAAGTGTTCCTGTAAACATGGGTTTGTTTCTGGGCTCTCCGTTCTGCTCCACTGGCCTATTCATCTAATCTGGCCCCCAATGTCATGTACTCTTAATTACTGTAGCTTGAAAAGTCCCATGTTATGCACTGAGATAATATCCACCCCCTCACTTTTCTGTTACTGTGATAAATTACATTGACCAACTTTGTAATGTTAAAAAATCTTGCATTCCTGGACTACAACAAACTTTGTCATGACAAATTATCCTGGTGTTTTGGGGGCTTAATTTATTTTGCTGAAAATTTGTTTAGGATTTTTGGATCTCATGTTCATCATAAGCGTCTTTTGGTTCTTATGACTGGGAGCGGCCTATAATTTCCCATTCTCAAAATGTCCTCTCTAGGCCTTACTATCTAGGTTGTGCTGGCCTCAAAACATTGCGGAGTGTTTCTTCCTGTACTATTCTCTGGAAGAGGTGGTGTGAAATTGGTGCTATTCTCTTTATTAAAAGCTTGGTAGGATGTGCCAGTGAACCAATTCTGGCCAAGAGTTTTCTCTTTGAAAAGATTTTAAATTATGGGTTTAGACTCTGTAAGAGTTATGGAACTATTTCTTCATGTGCCCATTTCAGTAAGTTGTCATTTTTAAAAGAACATCTCTATTTCATTCAGGTTTTCAAATTTCCTAACATAAAGTTGTTCCTAATACTCTCGTCCTTTAATCTGTAGGGTCTATAGTGATGTCCCCCTTTCATTCTATATTGGTTATTTGTTATTCATTACTTAAAAGTGTTCACATAACAAGCTTTTGGCTTTACAAATCCTTTCTACTTACAACTTTTCAAAAATTTCATGAAATGACTGCCTGTTTAAAAAAATTAATTCCTTCTGTCAACACTCTAGCTTCCTGCTCTTTTCTCTAAAGATGGATGCTTTCCTTACTGATTTTCAACTTTCTTTCTAAAGTATGCATTTAAGAAGCTGAATCCTGCAAGTTTTCATATGCAGTGTTTTATCTTTCAAAATACTTTCTAATTTCCACTGTAACTTTTCTCAACCCAAGGGTTATTCAGAGGTGTAATATCCACACTTATTTCAGTCTATCTTTTTGTTATATTCCTCGTTTAATTCTATTGTGGTCAGAAAACATGCTCTGTATCATTTCAAGTCTTTGAAATTTGTTCAACTTACTTTACGGCCCAGTTTAATGTCAATGTTTATAAATGTTCTATGTCTTTTTGAAAAGAATATGTATTCTTGAACATCAAGGGCAAAGTTCTATCTCCTTTTCCAAATCTTCTATTTCCTTACTGATTTTTCATCTACTTATTCTACCAGTTGGTAAGAGTGAGAATTCCCCACTTTGCTTGTAGTTTGTCTCTTTCTCTTTAGAGTGTTAACTTCTGCTTTAAATAAACTATTATCCTCTTGGTGAAATAAAACTTTTATCATTAAGAAATGTCCTTCAGATTCCCCCTCCCTCCCTCCCTTCCTCTCCTGCTTCTCCTTCTTTCCTCCATCCCTCCCTCCTTCCTTCTTTCCCTCCCTCCTCGCTTCCTTCCCTCCTTCCTTCCTTCTCCCCTTCCTTCCTTCCTGTCCTTCCTCCTTCCTTCCTTCCCCTTTTCCTCTGCTCTTTAATTCATTAACACATAACTTTCCCCTCCTTGTTGTCCCCTCCATGTATATACTGGTTGGTTCCTCTTTGTCAAAATGTCTCTAGTTGAGACATGATGTGAGGTCTTCCGGAAATGTGATACCCGTTGCTAAGTACCACCCTGCTCCGCCTGCCTTGGGCTGGAGTTGGGGGCACTGAGAACTCAGGGGATGTGCATCCACAGCTGAAGATGACCAGGAACACAGAATTCCAGGGCCTTAAGAAGGTGGAAGCAGACCCACCCTGGAATAGAAGATTAATTGTGCATAAAACCATGGAGATGATGCTGACCAGACCATTGCAGGACCAGTTTGAGATGAATATTGGAGCTGGCTGTGCTGTTCTGCGTGTAGCCGCCCACCCCCCCAGCCTGTATACCCCTGAGACTCCCTTTTAAAATCTTTGTCCCCTAACCAGCAACTTGGAGATGGTCTGAGGACACTAGTCCACCATCTTCCCAGGTTGCTGGCTTCCTGAAAAAAACACCTTTTATTTTTTAAAAAAAAAAAAATTAAAAAAGAAAAGGATATGCCCTTCATTATCTCTAGAATTACTATTTGCTTCAAAGTTTGTTTTAATATTAACAGCCACGTCAGCCTTTTTTTGGTTAACGTTTGCATAATGTATCAGCTTCTGTCCTTCAAATTGTTCTGTGCCCTTATGTCTTAGTTGTATCTACTGTAGACAGTACACATGGTAGTTGACTTTTAAAAAAATTTTTTTTAATTTTATTTATTTATTTTTGGCTGCGTTGGGTTTTCGTTGCTGCGCACGGGCTTTCTCTAGTTGCAGCAAGCAGGGGCTACTATTCGTTTCGTTGCGCAGGCTTCTCATTGCAGTGGCTTCTATTGTTGCAGAGCACGGGCTCTAGGCATGTGGGCTTCAGTAGTTGTGGCACGTGGGCTTCAGTAGTTGTGGCTCGCGGGCTCTAGAGCGCAGGCTCAGTAGTTGTGGCGCACGGGCTTAGTTGCTCCGAGGCATGTGGGATCTTCCCGGACCAGGGATCAAACCCATGTCCCCTGCATTGGCAGGCAGATTCTTATCCACTGCACCACCAGGGAAGCCCCACGGTAGTTGATTTTTAAAAATCCATCTAACATTTAATTCACTTACACTTAATATAATTATGTAAATGCTGACATTTTTAGGCTTAAATCCTCCATTTTATCATGTGCTTGCTATCTGTCCTGCCATAAACTAATTTTCCTTGTGTGCTTTTTTTTTTCTTGGATTCTTTCGGATTGAATTTTAAAATAACTTTACTCCTTGCTCTCTTATTTAGGAATTATATATAAATTATAATTCTCCTACTGTTTTTATAGTCATTATAACACATACAAAGAGCGAACAAATATTTTCCCACTGTTTTACCCTTTTCATTTTCCTAAAAGCATCTTTTGATAAGCAGAAGTTTTTAACTTTGATGGAGTCCGATTTATCAATTTTTTCCTTATGGCTAGTGCATTTTATGTCTTCCCTGAAAAAGTGCTGCTTAACCCAAGGTTACAAAGATAGTCTCTTAATGTTTTGTCTGAAACTTTATGGTTGTCGGTATCTTGTACAGGTCTACAATCTAGCCCCAATTAATTTTCATATATGATGTGAAAGAGGGACTGAGGTTAAATTTTTTCACCTTTACCCAGTTGTTTTGGCATCATTTGTTGACAAGGCTCTTTTCTCCCCCATTGAAATAATAAAAGCTGACTAACGATCTTGCAGTAGATGAACAAAGTAGGAAGACTTCACTAATTCATTTCAAGACTTACTCTAAGGCTACAGCAATTAAGAATATATGGTGTTGGGTTAAAGACAGATAAAAAGACCCATGGAATACAAGAGAGAAGATCCACACAGACAGTGTTTTGTTTTTAAAAAGATGTCAAGGTATTTCATAAAGTTTATTCAGTTTACCTAAGAATCCTGAAGCCCCCAAGGAAAGGATGTAGAATTAACTGTTAAAGGCAGGTGTTCTAACCAGTCAAGAGTTAATGGCCAGGAAAACATGTGAAGAAATCATAGCAGAGCAGACACGAAAGCCAAAGTGCTTCTAGAGGTTAGTGCTATTTAGACTAGAAGCAAAGTCCTTCACATCTCTAAAAACATCGGTTATCTCCACAATATAGTTCACTAATACATTCATAATACTTTTGTTTAATATTTTGAAAAATAGCTTCACCTTTAACTGCTCCTTGAGGTGTAGAGAGAGAGCAGTCCACCAACCATCATTAACTTGTAAGCTAAAGTTATGTTCTGTATACTCCAAATAAGAGGGCGTGAGATTATCTAAAACATTTTGGGAAGATTCACTCTCAAAATCTTTAAAATATATTTTTTAAGTTATGTTACTTCATAGGATAATAGGAATTAAAAAATGTTACTTGTGGGCTTCCCTGGTGGAGCAGTGGTTGAGAGTCCGCCTGCCGATGCAGGGGACACGGGTTCGTGCCCCGGTCTGGGAGGATCCCACATGCCGCGGAGCGGCTGGGCCGTAAGCCATTGCCGCTGAGCCTGCGCGTCTGGAGCCTGTGCTCCGCAACGGGAGAGGCCACAGCAGAGAGGCCCGCGTACCGCAAAAAAAAAAAAAGTTTACTTGTACAGCATATTTCTAGACAATGTCTAAGAAATGCCATCAATTGTTTCTATAAGAAGCACTTGTTTCCAAAATGTCGCATTTTGGGGAGATTTTAACAGGTGGGACAACTTGTAGTCCAATGCCAATGGAACGCTTCTTTAAGAGGTCTTTCCTATTCTAAAACTACTGGTAACTCATCTAGGCTTTCCTAGGTGAAGAGAACGCGGAACACATATGCTGTTACAAATTGTTACAATGATACCTTTTGTTTGGTTGGTTTTATTCAGCTGCCAGGGATGTGGTAAGATATTAGAAATAAAGTCTCATAGAGTTTAACGTCACACATGGGTTTAGTGAAAACAAGCACGCTGTCAGCACAGCCTTAGAACATGTCTACCTAAGGCTTTTGAGCTCCTTCCGGAGCTAAAAATAAGTGAGTTTAGGTTGTCAACACTGAGCTATCAGAGTAGCAGCAAGTCAGCTTTTACACACCTCCTGAAACAGTAATAAGCTCAGTGATTAGAAGAAGTTTATGTACTTTCATTTACCTCTCCGACTCATCCAGCAAGTCAGAAACACGTTACGGTATGGATGAAGCTTTTATCCCAACCCTGTAAGTAGAACAGAGAGGTGTTACAAGCAAAGAGACAGAATGACATTTTATTAATGCTTAACACAGCAACACAGCAATTATACGTGGAGCACACAGTATTATGAAGTAAATTAAATGGCTGAAAACAAACCAGCAAATCACCTGGATGTTTACCGTCAATTCAAAACTGGAAGGAAAAAAGTTAAAAGGAGAGAGTGTTACAAAAGAAATTAATCTGAATAAAAACACTGAACAAAACTTTAACTGGAATTTAAAAGAAAACCAAAGGTTTAATAGTACAAATGCATAAGAAATTTGTAAAATATTCAAAGGACATAAATTGATATGAAGTTTACAGGTTGCTGAAACATAATTAATGTTGAAAGTACTTTCCTTTCTGAAAAAGTTTAAACTGAGACCAATTTACTTACCCAAGCTCTGTCATGCCATCTACAAATTCTTTTTGCTAAATTCACATAGAGTCGTGGCCCTGAATTTCCACGCTATACCCAAAACGGTGATACTAGGCTTAAATCTAGGCTTAAATCATCACAAAACTTCTGAATTCCATCAATTCCAATTTTATTTTCATCTTGTGGGTCTGTAGTTAAAGTTAAGGGGAAAAGAAGTTAAAAATTTGGATATTTTGAAAAGCATTACTAAAATGGGTGGTAAGAATCATACCTCTACTACATAGTTTTGGCAAGTGTGTTTCAAATACATCAATCAATGCACTGCAGTGTTCTACCATATGTGAAAGAAATAGCAATAAATAATGATTTATCCAGAAAATACTCTTTATTTTTAAAATCTAGGTTCCTGGGTTTTTAGGGGGGGGGAAATCATTGAAACTTCTTTGAAGACTTCATCATTAAGAAAAAATTAATTAATATCCCTAAAGTAAAATAAAATTTCAAGTTTACAGAATTTTACCTTGCCCAAAGGCAAACTGCTACGAAAAACACTGTAAAGCATTCAAAATATTTTAAGTGTTTATCACCACCTTGTCAAAGCAAAAGAAAGATGTTTTTCTTTTAAAAGTGACTTCATTTGCTACAGTGCTAATACTACTGCACAATACTCATTTTTCAGTCATTTAGTTTATGCATCCACGTTTAACAGCTTAGAAATTCAGGCTCCCCCCGCCCGCCCCCCCATCCCTCCCGCCAATTTCTAGTTTAGACATAAAATTAAGGAACTTAGCGTTTCTCCATGGGAAAATCAAACCGTGAAATCCATTAAAAGAATCAGCAAGGCCTCACCAAGTGAGGCCCTGTGACCTCAGCCTGTGTCTCCTGACGGGCATCACAACGACGGCCCACCTGCTGCCGTAGAAGGTGGGAGAAGCAGGCCCGCGGCACCTTCCCGCAAAGGAAGGTTAAGTGCAACGAACTCTCCTTCCATCACACGAGATCGCACTCTCAAGTGCTCAATGCCACATTCATATATACATATGTTGTTACCAAAGAAGAACTGCTGACCTGCCTTAAATGAGCAAAATCACACAGACCCTTCCAACTCTACGTTCCTGTGTCCGAGAGAACCTGCCGCCGTGGGCTCATAGGGCAGAGGTTCCCACACACCTCCTGACTCAAGCCTGCGCTCCTACCACGACAGACCTTCAGGATAACAGAAAAATGGGTCTACGATGCCCTCACCTAATAACCGTCCTGATAAACTTCATATATAATAATTTAGAATGCTTTAAAGTAGTCTGGAAGCACTCATTCATTTGTATACATTGTGTAACAACGGTTGTTCTATTTGTCAATTGGCTTTGAACTATACATCTATGTTTAGGGGCCAAAATGACTGTACCATATGTCTACTTTAAATGACTAGAATCGCATGAATAAAATTAAATGATAAGGGATGAAGCTTAAAGACTAAAGATAATTTTCACATAAAAATATTTTTCCAAAGGCAGCTGCACATATCTGAATAACTTTTAAAATCTGCATAGCATATGACTTACAAAATTAGCTCAGTAATTAACTTAGCCAAAAAAATTTAAAGCACACTGAAAACAATGTTCATTTTTGGAGAACTACAACAAGTACAAATCTGTTTTTTAAACCACAGAACATGTTTCTGAACCAAGATTTTTTTTTTTAATGGAATGCAATTTTCAATTGATTTTTTGGATCTAGATAGACAGATTATACACAGTATTTTCAAAAGTGAAAAATGAAAATAATAAATAAACAAGAACTTAAAGCCAAGGGAGTTACTCTGTTTGTGTTAATACTTGTTTAAATGAGGGATTTTATTTTTTAAGTTTTGGAAAGATAAGATTAACCTTAGAAACTGCTAGAAAAAAAAAAAATCAGCTCTTGAATCGTTGCCGCCTCTCCCATTACGGCACAGACCTGACATTTGATGTGGAATTTAGAGCCTGCTGAGCAGTCCGGATCTGCACAGACTCATCATGCAGACTTATTTTTGCAGCAGGACTGCATTTTGATAGGGAAAGCTCCATTCTAAGTGCCAATTTCAATGAAACTAACAACTGTCCCCAGCTGACAACACAAAGGTTTTTTTGCCAAGAGTTTTTCCAGAAGCTTCTGCAGCTGGAGCTGTTCCAGGGCTCCAACACCAGCACACGGTGTTAAGGGCAGGATACCTGTACCCTTGCGTCAGAACTACTCTTACGAGTTGGTATCGTTCTGGAATGGCCTTCTCACCACGTATTCCTGCCTACGTGCAAGTGCTGGGGAGAAGTACTGTCTTAACGAGTGTAGCCACCTGGCCTGGACACCAAGCCTCCAAGCAGTGACCGTGCGTAGCTGACCGTGGGCACACGAGCCTCCCGCCCAGGCCACGTGCAGGAGGGCTCGCTGCTCATCAGTCCTCAGACTTTTGTGCAGCTGAACGTCTGCACGGGAAGGGAATGCACGTCGGGGGCCTGGGACGCAGCACGGAGGCTCCAGCACAGCCACCTGCTCCCTGGAGACGGACGCACTCGCCACTGCGCCCCTACCTTTGTACCAGTTATACAGCGGCTCCAGCGTCTTCCTGTCCACGGAGGTTCGCATGGAGTCCTTGTGGAACGAGGCCGGGTTCTGGAAGAAGCTGTCCGTGGCGCGTCCAGTTTCCACTCACTTTGGGCTGAGCGCCGGATGACAGTTCTCTCACCAGCCTGAGTGAATGCCATGAGCTGGTGGACCTCGTCCTTCTGAGATGATTTAAGCTTATGCTGTGGGAAGCAAAAGAAGCAGGAAAGCCAATGAGGCCAGTCCAGAGAGCTGTTTCAGCTCTATCACCAACTCCTATATTGTAACTGGACTTAACTTTTCCTTGGGTGACCGGACTTCACTTCAGAATTACAGGAAGACAAAGCCTTGTTTTTCATGAGTTAAAAAGACTGCACAGCCTTCTGAAAATTCAAACGACAGCATCTACACAGTAACAAATATGCAAAGTCTCATCTCCCCCAAATTAGAAGCATCAGTGTCTTATACAAAATACATTTTGATCTCTATCTGGTTCACTTTGCAAGAAGTAGGATGTTAATTTTTTTCTAAGTCTCAGTGAAATCCCTCTTTATAACACATATGTACCCTCTGATGAAATGCGGCTAACCCGAGGCCTGACCACATCACCACAGCCCACCTGTGGGTCCTCCTTGGCTTCAATTAATTTCAGGCCCTAATGGCCAGGAGGAGGACCTCATGGTTGGAAACATCATTATTTTAAGTTTTTCTCCGTTTAAAATTAGCAGAACACTGATGAAAACAAACACACACAACAAAGAATTGTGTGAAAAATAACTTATACAAGTTCCAGAAGCAGGCGCAAAAAGCCTGTTATGGTTAAATGAAGATGATACTAATAATGAGAATGCCTGTGTACATGAGACAGAGATAAGATGGAAAGATAGGGCAGAGGCTGTTGGGAGGTAGTAAATAACAAAACTGCCATGTAACAGTACTATATATAGCATATAATGAAACCGAATAGCATTTTCATGTTTCCAGGTATCGGATGGTTAAGGTTTTATTTATCTAAGGTAGCCTGATGAAAACAACTGCAGAAATGACAGTCATTCACTAATTTCTGTAAATCAAAACAGAGTCTGTAATCTACTGGGTGCTAATACTTTAAAAGACACTTTACAAAATAATATGATAAGGGGAAAAGTTTTACTTAAAATGATTTATACTCAGTCTTGTTCAAAAAAAAGATGAGTTTATAGAAGCACACAGAATAAATTATAATTTACAGAAATATGTTAACTGGAAAACAAACTGTAGATGAGGAAATCAAGAAGAGGAAATAAGGAAAATAAGAAAGCCAGATAAGACACGCACACCATATATAAGAGTTGAAAGTGAGCTGAAAATTAGGCTCTGAGCTTCTCAGTTGCCAACATAAAGAAGAAAAGAGGATTAGTTAGGAAAATCTGTTTTCATAAGATTTAAAGACCCACCAGTGGCCCAAAAGTGGCCCAGCCCCTCCTGGCGCTGAGACTGGAAGGAATTGGAGACATGAAATGTTCCCTTTGTACCAGACCAGCTCCTCACCAAATGCCACCAGTGAACAGCAGAGCAAGCTTGCAAAGCTTTTTGCTAAGGCCTCTCTCTCAGTGCCTGCTGGTGCCAGAAGAGCAGGGGACAACTGAGCAGAAGTTACGCTACTGCAGTCCACACACACTGCTCTCCAAGTGTGGCTGGGGACACCGGGGGCCTAAGACCTTTCAGGGGTTCCGCGGTCACAAAAGTATCTCCAAATGCCTCCAGGCCGTTACCCACCTTTCTCACTTTCACTGGTGTATAGCAGAGGCTTCCAGAGGCTGCCTGACTGGCGACACCACAACAGACTGAACACAGATTGGAGAGCCTGACTTTGGTTAAAGATGTTTGCAAAAATGTAATGTGAATGTATAACGGGTTTACTATGGTTATTTTTAAACACAGGTATTTTCAAACTTTCCATTTTAATTTCTAATATGGTAAATACCAATGGCTAAAATCCCAATAATTTTTTAAAGTGTATAGGGGGCCTGGGACTTAGAAGTTTGAGAAACACTGATCTAGAGTAACCCAGGGAATTAATATCTTGGCTACTTAGAACAATGACTGTTGATCATTTGGGGTCCTGGGGCCCTTCTGGAATCTGATGACAGCATGGATCCCTTCTCCTGGAAAACGTAAGTGGTACACACGTGGGCATATGGTTTGGCACAGAAATTCAGGGTTTTCACGGACCTTTTAGGACGATCCTGGCTTCTCAGAGGCTGGGGGAAGGTGGAACTCGGGCTAAGAGCCCCGGAGCTAGGTCAGGAGGTGCTGTGCTCTGCCACAGTGAGAGCGCCGCGCAGACAGGTGGGCGAACTGTGCTCCACGCGGCTGCATTTACAAACCCGCAGCTACCCAGCGACTGCAGCCTACTGTCCGGGTTCCAGGGGCACACGTAGAGTGCATATTCTCTACCTTATTTCCTGAAATTGAGCCTTTGAGAAAAACCAAAGAGTTCAAGGTTCTGTTCTCTGGGAAGATTAAATTTTGCTCAGTGCGGTCAGATGCCAAAGGCTTTGACAGTAAACTGACAAAAGACAATGCTGGCATCTTTGATGACACCGATGGCTTCCCCAAGGGAGGTGGGCAAAGCCAAGGCTTACCTCAGACACCTTAAGACAGTGACAGGTGTTCGACCCCAAAATGGTGCACCGTTCAGAAGACCCATGACATGCTCACTGTGGAAACTGCCCTCAATGCTAGATTTTAACATTCTGTCAGGCTTGTAAAGGCAGAATTCGGTACATACATACAATGAAATTCAGCCACAAAAAATCATGGAGTACTGATATATGCTACGATATGGGTGGGCCTCGAAAACATTATGCTGAGCAAAGGAAGTCGGACACAAACGGTCACACGCTGTGAGGTTCCATTCGCGTGAAACGTGCAGCACAGGTAAGTCCTGAGACGGAGGGCGGGCGGTGTGGCCAGGGGCTGGGGGAGGGAGGCGTGGGAGGGACTGCTGACAGGTGTGGGCCTTCCTTCGGGGGATGAAAATGTTCTGGAACTAGACACAGGCAGCGGTAGCACAACGCAGTGAAGGTCCTACGCACCACTGGACTGTACACTTCGAAACAGTTAAATTTATGTTATGTGATTCCACCTCAAAAAAATCCACCTTAGCACCCTGAGACTCTCCAAGATGAGCCAACAGAGCAACATTTGCTCAGGTGACAACCATTCAGTCGGCAGATCCCCGCCAAGGAGATGCTGCCCAGCACCTGGAGGACAGGACGAGTTCCCATCTCGAGGTCCTTCTCCTGACAGCAGCCTCCCGCAGCCCCTCCTAAACCGCGACCAAGCGGCTACACGACAGTATAACGGGGAACGCTTTCCGGGAAGACTAGGAGGAGGAGGGCAGGAGGAGCACGTGGCCCCAGGCCACCCAGAGCGCTCTGAATTGTCACCGCGTGAGTTACAAAGTGGGGGAAGTGCAGATGGTCAATCTATTTGGGGGAAGTGCAGATGGTCAATCTATTCCAGGTGGTAGGACCTGTCTATCCCAAGACAGATCCTACCCCCTGGAACCGCGAAGTGGCACAAAGGTGACTGTTCTGCATGAGCAACCGCAGCCGTGGGTCCAAGCCCAGCCCACAGCAGGTCTCTGGCCAGGATGAAAGGGGAGGGGGTGGTCAGTAAAGTTCCAATGATTCAATGTGACCCCTATGGTGATTAAAAGAACAACCAATAGCTAAATCTAAAGACTATATGTGCTTCATGCCCAAAAGGGACAAAGAGATTCAAGTTGCAATTTGTAAAAAAAGGGACCCATGGGCTTCCCTGGTGGCGCAGTGGTTGAGAGTCCATCTGCCGATGCAGGGGACGTGGGTTCGCGCCCCGGTCCGGGAAGATCCCACATGCCGCGGGGTGGCTGGGCCCGTGAGCCATGGCCGCTGAGCCTGCGCGTCCGGAGCCTGTGCTCCGCAACGGGAGAGGCCACAGCAGTGAGAGGGCCACGTACCGCAAAAAAAAAAAAAAAAAAAAAAAAAAAAAAAATCTGGACAATCCAGGAAAAACATCAGATAAATTCTCTACCTCTGGAAAAAGTCTCAAACATTTTAATTGTGACCTTGTAAAAAATCACCCATGTGATCTGGGCACCAAAACTGACCACATACAAAATGAAAATGTTATCCTTAAAATGCCCTTCCAGAGACACTGAATACAACAAAATCTCCTCTTAGGGTCAACTTACAAGGGGCTGCCAGGGCAACCACACTGACCCAGTTCGTGCCATCAATTCAGTCGCCTTGACGGTTTCAGGTACAGCAGGCGGGGGTGGTGCATGGAGTCACACCAAAGTGCCCCCTTTTACTCTCCTTCCTCTCCAACCTCTTCAGCAAGTCAGGCTCCTGCCCACCCAGCCCCTTCCCCTTAAGAGCTGGGGCGTGTGGTCTCACCGGCCAAGGCGGGCGCACTCGGCCGGGCAGTGCAGCTGCTGCCCCGGGGCCGGCACGAGCCTCCCGGCTGCACTGCAGACAGCCCGCTCCTGGTTTCTGGGACGACCTTCTCGAGCCCTCACGTTCCTCTGACCGGCGCTTCTCCATCTGCTTTCTTGCCTGCTCTTCCCACCCAGAAGGTTGGTTCTCACGCCTCCCCTCTTCCTGGCACATTCCTCCTGGACATCTCTCTCCGGCCTGAAAGCCTCTCCCCGGCCTCCCACTACCACGAGGACAAAGGCTGCCATTCCTCCCTGTGACCAGATGAGTGCCCATCACAGCCTCCCGCCGCGGCTGCTCCCTGGCTCTCTGGGCTCCGCGGGGCCCTCTTCCCATTCCTGTCCCTCCCACCCCACACGTGCGCCGCGCACATCTGGCTGCCCCACTCCCACTCATTCTCGAGAGTTCAGCTCAGCTCACACCGTGCTGCCGCGGTCAAACCTTCACTGGCTGGGCATCTGACACCCCACACCCCACCCTGCGGGTGCCTGGAACCGGTGCCTCTCCCTGGCACTTATCCCAGCTGTAATAATGTAGCTGCGTGTTCAGTGCCCGTCTCTCCTGCTGGGACATCGTCTCCATCAGTACCAAACCCACGTCTGCTTGCTCAGCGTCGAAGCCCCGGCACCTTGCACACCACCTCGCTTGCACGCAGAAGCCACTGAATGTACTGAATGAACACTGAAACCCTTCAACTACCATGGTTTCCACGACGTTTCAAAGTAACTGTACGTTTCCAGAAAGCCCGCCCTCTCCTGGTCTCCAGATCTACGTCTCTAACCAACTAGATCCCGCTATCTCCCCCTCCTTACAGCATCATCTTTCCGTACAAACCTGCGCTTCCTTCTACAATCCCTATTTTGGTCAATACCATGACCGTCTGCTCAGACGCCCCAGCCAGGGCCTGCAGAGCCCTTCCTTTCCTTTTCCTCCTTTTCTGAATGGCTCTGTGAAATTCCCCACCCTTCCCTCCTCTCATGCCCCTTGTTCCTACCGACAGTCTTCGTTCAAGTCTTCTCTTCTTGCCGAGCTATTACCGCCGCTTCCTAGCTGGCCTCCCCGACCCGCAGTCCTGACCCCCTCCCATCCAAGTCCTGTTCTCCGGACAAAAGGCGATCGCTTCGCACACACCCCTCCTTCTCAAAGACCTTACAGGCTCCCGCTCTCTCCGAAGACTCTGCCCTCCTCGGCGGGGAACACGAGACCCTGCTCCGGGAGCCCTGCCATTCTCGACCCTGAAATCCACGTTCCGGCCGCTCTGAACCACCGGCAAGGCTCAGGCGCGATCCGGTCCACCGCATCTCCCGGCAGGACGCCCGCCTGCCCGGAACGTCCTCCCTCCGGGGTCACCCGGCTGCTCGCGCTCCCGAGGAGGCAGTGCTCGGAGTCCCCGGCCCGCTCTGTGCCTCCGTCTCGTCAAGCAGCACCGCCGCACTTGGGCCACCGGTCCGGTCCCACCTGCGTGCTCCCCGTCGCGCCTAAGGACTCCGCGCCCGGCCCTGGGCCCCGACCGCCAGTCCCCGACCCACGATCTCCGACCCCAACCCTCGGCCCCAGCAGCGCCTCGCCGCCCCCCAGTCCCGGATGCCCAGGAGCGGCCGAGAGGAAGGCGAGCCGCGGGCCACCTACCATACTCCCCGCTTTCCCCAGCTTGTCGCCGGCCCCGGCCGTCTGCGCAGGCGCCCCGGCCTGGCCGCGCCATCCCCGTCCCGGACGCGCCATCCCCGTCCCTGTCCTCAGCCCTGGGGACACCCGCCCAGGGAGGCAGCAACAGGTCAGGCCGGGCCGGCGGGACTCCAATTCCCGGCGTGCACTGCGCCGCCCGGGGCCGCCGGGATGCAGGCCCCGCGGCGCCTCCGACTCCCGGCGTGCACCGCGCCGCCCTGGGGTGGACGGAACCCACACCCCGCCTCCTTAAAGGGGCCGCGACTCCCTTTGAGCCGCGTCGGGCGTTCGAGAGAGCACTGCGGGCCTCCTGGGCCCTCCCCGTACCCGACCTCGTCCCCGTCCTCGTCCCCGCCCCGGGGGCGGCCCCGCCGCCCGGAAAGGGATGCGGTTAAGCCGGATAAGGTCTTCCCCTCTGGAAAGCCGGGCCAGGACGCGGCGCAGCGGGAACGTTTAGGTGAGCGTTCGGCGCGGGGCCCCGGGTCCGGCCTGAAGTGCGGCCCTCGGGGCTTCCCTCTCCTCCCCTCCCTTCCCCTGGGGTCTCCCCTTCCCGTGGATGTCAGTTCTTCTCTTCCCCGGGGTCTGGTCTCCCCTCGGGGTCTCTCCTCCCAAGGTCTCCTCTTCCTGGGGGTCCCTTCTCCCCCTCCCCGGGAGTCTGGTCTCCCCTCCCCCTCCCGGGTCTCCCCTCCCCGGGGGTCTCCCCTTCCCGAGGGTGTCTTCTCCCCCTCCCTGGGGGGGGCGGTGTCTGGTCTCTCCTTCCCCTCCCTAGAGGTCTCCCCTCCTCCTTCCTAGGGGTCTCTCCGCCCTCTCCCGAGGTTCCGTTCTCTCGGCCTCACTCAGCCCCCGCCCGCTCTCTCCTCCTCCGGGCTTTGCGCCGAGAGCGGTGCTGCACCTGGGCACCCTTTACCGGACCCCGCACCTGGCGGCGGCCCCGGGGTTGCGGGGAGGGCTGATGGGGGTGCGGGCGGGAGCTGGCGAGGCTTCAGACACGGCGGGCCACTCGGTTGGACCGTCTACACTTTCCCGGCGCCTGATCCTCGGGTCAGATCTGCGGAGGAGCCGCCGCTTCACGAGCCCCTGGGGGTCCTGGCTCTGCGCGCCGCTCCCTGGTTCCCGTCGGACCTCACCCGTGGTCCCCGTTCACGCTGTCGTCCAGGTGTCAGGCGGCCCTGCCAGGTCCCAGGTCCCCTGGGAAAAGGACGCACGACGTGAGCCCCGAGTTTCCGCGTGATTCGGGGACAGCCCCTCATCCAGCTCTGGGGAGCCGCTCCGAGGAGGGGGGCCTCGTGGAGGGTCGCTGCCTGTCACGGTGACAAGTATCCCCGTGAATGACTCTAGCGCTTTCCTAAGGGTGGGAAGATGCAAGGATCCGGTCTGTAAATGTTGTTCCTAAAGTGTAACCGTCGGAGGGCCTGTTTTCCCAAAGCGCCAGGCCTCATCCCGTCCTGGGTCTGCGCTCCCCTCGGGCTGCGCTGTGTGCGCCCGGCGCCCCATGGCTGGCCGGGGGAACCGGATGGCGAATAACGTAACTGAGTTCACAGCCTTTTTATACGTTTTTCTGATCAGTTTTTCGGCCAGAGCGGCGTACTGTCTTACTGGTCCTAAATTTCTTTTATAATATAAATTTTTGAAAAGACAGTGTCTCAGTGATTGGATTTTTAATGGAATACTGGGTTTTTGTACAGTTCAATTAACATTAAATACTTTAAAACTTTTTATTGTCCGTAAGAATTTTCTTCTTTCCTTCCTCTCCCCCTTTTTTAACTCATTCTCCCATTTTACTGATTAGAAGTGAACCGTAAATTGTATTATAAGTGCTTTATCTTTTAAGAACTAGATTTTACATCATCTAACTTGTTCAAGTGTAAAATAGGCTTTTCAAGTAAAACCCTCCACAGATTACATTGAGGTAGATTGCTTCCATTCCACTGGGGGTTTCTTTGCTTCCTTGGATCTTTCCACAAGTTCCCCCCTTTGTTGCCGGTTTTGTGCCTGGCCTGGAAGTTCTGGTGGCATCAGGAAGAGATACTGCAAACAACCCTCCTGCTTTCCTTTTTGCAGAGGTCCTGCACCTGCTAACCCTGATCCTGCCCCATCCAAGTGGCTCACTCTGGAATTCCTGCCTGGAACTCCCATACCAGGTCAGCCACCCTCCCCGCTTTAGGGTCTGGGTTCAGCTGGGTAGATGGCCGGCCCCTAGGGTGGGCTGTCCCGGGAGCTGTGTCCCACCTGGTCCTGATGGCCTCTGCCCACAGACAGAGGCTGCTGTCAATAAACCACACTGACTTTAAGCAGTTGGACCTGCTAAATCTGAGGTGGTGGGTCTGGAAGGTCCTGAGGAAGAGAGACGGAGGGGCCTCTGGCTACACGTGTGCAGGAGGCTGGGGGGCAGGGCTGCCAGGTTCTCGCATTTTATTTTAGTCCAGTGTGTAAAGTGGAAAAACAGGGGCGCTGCCTCCCCGCCCCCCATTCTCCGGAGGGCCTCCAGCAATGGTCTAGGGCTCTGTGGTCCAGCAGCGGGTGTCCCAGGAGAGTGCTGCACACCCTGCAGTCTTGATAGAACTCAGAGTGGAGGCGAGAGAGAAATCTTAACCTGGTGACTTTGCTCTGAAAAAACCTGGTCTTGGACTTTTTATTTTTTTTTGGCTGTGTTGAGTCTTTGCTGCTGTGCCTGCTGTGCACGAGCTTTCTCTAGTTGCAGTGAGTGGGGGCTACTCTTCGTTGTGGTGCGCAGGCTTCTCATTGCGCTGGCTTCTCTTGCTGTGGAGCATGGGCTCTAGGCGTGCAGGCTTCAGTAGTTGTGGCTCATGGGCTTAGTTGCTCCGCAGCATGTGGGATCTTCCTGGGCCAGGGCTCAAACCTGTGTCCCCTGCATTGGCAGGCAGATTCTTAACCACTGCGCCACCAGGGAAGCCCCAGATCTTGGACTTTTTATGTAAAATTATTGGAAGTTTCTTTGTTTTTGAGTAGGCTTAATAATGAACCCACATGCCTTTTTATTCTGAATCATTTATTACAAATTTTTTTCTTAATCAAATAATCTCATCGATTTTAAAGTTAGTTTTGGATTCCTGTTCTGCCTTTATAAAAACAAGCAAAACCTCCTAGAAATTTGGCAAAGTTGGGGAGATATATTTTAATTAATATTGGAATATGTATAAATAGAAAGTTTTAGGAGGGAGGGTTTATGCTCAAAGTATTGATTTTTGCTATCGCACTAAATGAAAAGTAACCTTGGGTTTCACTTTAGCTGAGTCATACTGAAAACCTTTGGTTTTAGGGCGTTTCCTACTTTAAAATATTAAAATGTCACAGGCATGTTTGCCATGCTCTGCAGTGTAAACGGTGCACATTACACACAATAAGGGTGTAGTGGGAAACAGGAAGCACTTATATAGAGTTTTAAAAACTTTATTTTGAGATGATTATAGAGTCACATAAAGTTTTAAAAAATAATACAGAGAAATCCTATAGAATATACATAGAAAATCCTAAAGATGCCACCAGAAAACTACTAGAACTTATCAATGAATTTGGTAAGGTTGCAGGATACAAAATTAATGCACACAAATCTCTGGCATTCCTATACACTAACAATGAAAAATCAGAAAGAGAAATTAAGGAAACACTCCCATTTACCATTGCAACAAAAAGAATAAAATACCTAGGAATAAACCTACCTAAGGAGATAAAAGACCTGTACTCAGAAAACTGACACTGATGAAAGAAATCAAAGATGACATAAACAGATGGAGAAATATACAATCATTATTGTGAAAATGACTGTGCTACCCAAAGCAATATACAGATTCAATGCAATCCCTGTCAAATTACCAATGGCATTCTTTATAGAATTACAACAAAAAATTTTACAATTCGTATGGAAACACGAAAGACCCCAAATAGCCAAATCAATCTTGAGAAAAAAATGGAGCTGGAAGAATCAGGCTCACTGACTTCAGGCTATACTACAAAGCTACAGTAATCAAGACAGTGTGGTATTGGCACAAAAACAGAAATATAGATCAATGGTACAGGATAGAAAGCCCAGAGATAAACCCACGCACATATGGTCATCTAATCTATGACAAAGGAGGCAAGAACATACAATGGAGAAAGACAGCCTCTCCAATAAGTGGTGCTGGGAAAACTGGACCGCTACCTGTGAAAGAATGAAATTAGAACACTACCTAACACCATACAGAAAAGTAAACTCAAAATCGATTAAAAACCTAAATGTTAAGACCGGACACTATAAAACTCTTAGAGGAAGACATAAGAAAAACACTCTGACATAAACCACAGCAAGATCTTTTTTGACCCACCTTCTAGAGTAATGAAAATAAAAATGAGAATAAACAAATGGGACCTAATGAAACTTAAAACCTTTTGCACAGCAAACCATAAACAAGATGGAAAGACAACCCTCAGAATGGGAGAAAATATTTGCAAATGAAGCAACGAACAAAGGATTAATCTCCAAAATATACGAAGAGCTCATGGAGCTCAATATCAAAAAAACAAACAACCCAATTAAAAAATGGGCAGAAGACCTAAAGAGACATTTCACCAAAGAAGACATACACATGGCCAAGAGGCACATAAAAAGATGCTCAACATCACTAATCATTAGAGAAATGCAAATCAAAACTACAATGAGGTACCACCTCACACTGGTCAGAATGGCCATCATCAAAAAATCTAGAAACAGTAAATGCTGGAGAGGGTGTGGAGAAAAGGGAACCCTCTTGCACTGTTTCTGGGAATGTAAATTGATACAGGCCACTGGAGAACAGTATGGAGGTTCCTTAAAAAACTAAAAATAGACCTACCATATGACCTAGCAATCCCACTACTGGGCATATACCCTGAGAAAACCATAATTCAAAAAGAGTCATGTAGGGCTTCCCTGGTGGCGCAGTGGTTGAGAGTCCGCCTGCCGATGCAGGGGACACGGGTTCGTGCCCTGGTCCGGGAAGATCCCACATGCTGCAGAGAGGCTAGGCCTGTGAACCGTGGCCGCTGAGCCTGTGCGTCTGGAACCTGTGCTCCACAACGGGAGAGGCCACAACAGTGAGAGGCCCGCATACCGCAAAAAAAAAAAAAAAAAAAA